ATTTTGGTATATATAATAACAATATTAATTAAAGGAAAAAAGAATTTCAATCGGGTTAAATTTTTTTGAATGTTTTATTTTGCTCGACAAACTAAATATGACCCAAAATTTTTATTTTTTTAATATAATTATATTTATTGATTTTAATATTGTAATATATTATTTCTTTTTTTAAAATCGATTTGAAACAATAATTTGAAGAAATTCTTTATTTTTTACATTTTATATTATACCCAACACTTTCCTTATTTCTTAGGCCATAAACGCCGTTTTAATTTAATTAGATAGTACATAAATTTAATTATATTTATTATTTTTTTTATTTCGAAAAAATAGTATTTTTTATTACAAAATAAATCTACTACATCAAAATTTGTTTATAAAAATGACCTTCAAATGGTACAAAAAAGAATTCTCAACAAGTATACTAGCACCCCCCCTAGTCCTTAGGAGATCTCAAATAGTTATTAGGAATTCACCCAATAGAAATAGGGAAAGTCAAAATAAGATTTGTTATTATATGACCAAATCTTTATAAATTTATAAAAAGGACTTATTTATCATAAAAAACGAATATAAATAACAAATTATTTAAAATTTATGAAATCTATAATAAATATATTGGTTTTTTTTAAATATATTTTACTGAGGGTTTTCTAATAATAAACTTTATCAAGATATAATAAATATTATATTATTTAGAATTAAAAAAAATAAAATAAATTTTAAACAATAAATATAAATAAAAAAACATCTTTTCAAAAAATTATCTTAAATTTGTATATTATTTTTATTTCTTACCATCGGTCGGGTTATTTTCTATTTAATAATAAATTCCTATTTTCAAATTCGTATTCTTTTAAAAATGTAATAAAAAAACGATATTTTTTGGTTAAATCCCTGGATTAAAATAAACTATTTATATACTTTTTATATATTTAAACAAGTATTTTTAAAGTATTTTCTTCTTTTTTCAAAAACCACTATTTTTCTGATCCTTAGTTTTTAAAAACAATAATTTTTGAAGAGTTTAAAAAAAATACTTTTATGCAATAAAAAAAAGAAAGAAGATAAAGACAATCGATAAATTGTGAATTATCAATACAATATTTATGAGGTTTATATTCCATCCTTAATTCGGATGGAAATTATTTATGTAACAATTAATAATAAAATAATTTAATATTCCAAAAAATAAATATTAAAAAAATATGGGAACTAATCTTTCTAGATGCTGTCTCGCTGAATAATAACCAAATAATAACTTTCAAAAATAAAAATTGGGCCGAAATCGAGTATCAACTATATTGCAGTCTTTCCAGATTTTCCCACGATCATAGAAGTGCTAATCATCATTCATCCTTATCCCAGGTGTTTAAAAACATGACAATTTTTGGATACTTTTTTCTGGAATGGTCCAAAATATTGTATCAATCTTTATACTCATACATTCATCGCAACAGCATAGTATTCGCTTTCAATCATTTTTGCTCGTTCGGAAATTCTTTCCAAACTTTTGAAACCTCAGAAATCTACCCAACCTACGCGCCGGTACAAGAAGCCTTAATAAGCTTTAATTTTATATCCGTTCTCCTCTATAATATCGCGTGCGGAATATTCACTGAACCTTTATTTTACCCTTGCATTGACGAATTCGTCCATACCACCAACTTTTTATATTATAGAATTGTCGATCCGCCTTTAAGAATAACTATCAAACTCGTAAAAGTTGTTTTGTACAGAGCAAACATGTCAGCCGAGTTGGTGCAAAGCCTTAAATCATGGATTTTAACAACCTTACCGCAAAATTTGTGAGATATAAATCTGAAAATAACTTTAAATTATTATTATTTTTAATAAAACATTATTCGAAGATATATTTAAATTTCAAAAATTTTTATGAAATATACAAATCTTATAAAAGGAAATAATTTTATTTAAGAAATCTATGTGTTCCATATGACATTTTTTCAGATTGTAAATTTTTTGAGCTGATTTCAAAAATATTCCAGTATTTTAAAAAAAATCACATTACCGATTCATTATTTTACTACAAAAAAACTTTATGAAAAATGTACACATGGCTTGAGTCAGCGTTCAAATGGAAGTATTAACATAAATCCTTGTGTATTGTAGATATTTAACCGCCAAAAAAAGATGAAAAATAATTACAAAATAGATATACTAGAGTATAATTTAAAAAAGAATTATTTAGATAAGTTATTATATCAGATCCATAAAATTTTCTCCCCTTTCTTAAGTTACTTATTCGAATAAGTTGGGTTTATCCGTTCAAAACCCGTACGTTAAAAAAAATTTAAATTTTAAAAACGGTTTAGCGCCAACTTGCATTAAAAATTTTATTGTAAAATAAAATATAAAAATTATTTCATAGGCAAAATTTGCCCCTCGCCAACAAAGCTTTAGGCGTGTAATAGTGGTCTTTGTTCTTTTATTTGGGGCATTCTACTTTACTTTAAATTTGCTTTTTTTATTATTATATAATAATTTGTTTTTGTATTCACCTCTCATAATAATAAGAAATAGAATGTTAATCGTTTCGAAGTTTTGAATGAGAGAGAAATTCATTCATACTCCAAATTTAATTAATGATTTTTAAGATCAAGAATTGAGAAATAGCAAATTATTAAAATATATATTTTTAATAACATTATAAAATAAAATGAATAATAGTAAAAACATAAAATCAAAATATAGAGTAAAAATTATAAAACTTTTCTTAATTATTAAATTTTCGATCTCACAATTTTATACTAACTAACATTAAAATTTACGATATTTATAAAATGGGAAAAATTTAACAAACTATTCTTCTTTTTTTCTAAATCTTTTTACAATTCAATTTCAATAACTCTAATAATTAAAATTCGCATACTATAAAAATCTTTCAAATATAATATAATCAATTAACATTTTTATAAAACAATCACGTCTATGTAAAATAGATGGTAGACTAATTCTTTATTTTTGATAAAAATCTAAAATAATGAAATAATAAATTTTTTTTAAATCTTCAAATTATTATATATTCGACTTGATATTGGAATGGCCTCTACAAGCGATGTCGACATACCTCTTAGTGATATGTATCGGGCCTAATTTTTCAAGCCCGGCCCGGAATTTTTTTTAAATAATTGTCCTGCCCGGATATTCCGAGCGAATTTTTTTTATTTGTCGCGAAAAACCTGACTCGAAACAAAAATTAAAATATATTTGCCACTCCGGCCTGAATTTATTTAAATATATAAAAATTTAATTATTTTTTTATTGGGAAATAATATTCTACCTAATAAAAATTATTAGCGCCATGTATCTTGCAAGAACTTTAAAATATATCAATTTATTTGGCAAAATATAATGATATCATATTTAAAAATTTAAACCTCACCCGGCCCGACCCGAAACCTTTTAAAAAATATTACAAAGCATGTTTCAATTCTATAGGTTCGACGATTTATTGAATTTCCAAAATTTCAAACACAAAAAAAAATTCTTAATTGATCATATATATTTTTAAAAAAATCCGAAATTTAATTTTGACGTGAAGAAAAAGGAAAAGAAAAAAAACTAATCTTTCATTTCTTTCACGCTCACTTTATTTCGTTTTGTGGCAAATAGAAAAAATTTTTTTTTAAATATTACAAAGAACAGGATTATTGGTTTTTGACAAATTTGTACTCGTTTTATTTTAGTGATATTTAAATGAACACATTTAAAATGTTCTATATTTATTTATCGAACAATAATTTATTGCATACGACAAATATGTCAACTAATTTTTTTTTTGTGCTAATAAATTTCCAACGTGGCCCATAAGAGTTCTTTTACTCCTTTATGCCTTTTTTAAAGCTTTCGCGATTCATAAATAAAGTAAATAAAAGAAAATCAAAAGCAAAAAAAAGGGATAATGAATGAAAATGAATAGATATTCTATTAAATAATGAAAGAAAGATTGGAGGGAAGCAGAAATGTAGGAAATTAACCCAGGGATCTATTAGGTGAATGATCCCATAAAATATTGTAACTTTATTTTGTATAATACTGAAAAATGTCTATTTCCACAATTATTAAACTCCCATTAAAACAAATATACAAAGTGCCATTTTTTTTTGAAATTATTTGCATAAATGAAAATATAAAAATAAATACGACGCTATCTTAATTTATTTGTAATAAAATACATAATATTTCCATCTTTTAAGAATGAGTGGACTAAGCTGCTAATGTCATTCAACCTAGAAGAGCATATATATTATATCAACCATTTAAATTATATGCACAAACTCTTTATGTTTTTAGTGTATGCTAAAAATCAATATTATTCCTGATAGGACTAAAATCCACCCCCCCCCCCCATTCCTTTATCTTAATATAAAATTCTTTTGGATTTTCCATTACACCCCCCCCCCCTCCATTTTTAAAAATAATACCAAAATGTAAGTAATATATCTGCACGCTATTTTTTTTAGAAACTGCATGATATGGTCAACACTAACAAAACCATTACATTTTTACATAGTTATAAACCACAAAAAGAAATTAGTTTTTATGAATTTCGATAAATATTTATATATATTACATAATATAAATAATAAATAATGGGGAAAAAGAATTAATGTACATATTCCTTTTTAAGAAATATAAAACATACTTCAAAAAAAAATCAATCGAGTCCTTCCGTCTACGAGAAGGGGGGGGGGGTGTATCTAAAATCATTTTACATATATCTTCACAGTATAATATGTCTCTCTATTTTCTTTGTTATACTTTTTCCTAAAATAATTTATTGAATATCGATTTACCAACCGAGGAACTCATTCAAATCCAATACCGAATAATTAATATAAGTTTTTTTTAAAAAAAATATGTTATTATTTTGATCAAATTACGGGCATGTTTTTATGAGTTATTTTCTCGATTTTTTTTGAAAATTATATTTTATTATTACATTCGTACACACAAAAAAAATGGGAACGCAGCGCTTTGGGTTTCAGGAGAGATACTCAATTCAGCAATCAGCTAGACGAAGACTCACCCGGATATCTCTTAGATGTGCCTTCTCCCGCCCGTTCCAGATGGATCGAAGCTTTCAACAGGGTCTGCATTCATTTGTCAGAGGTAAATTTGTTTTAAATATTTACTTATTTTTTTAACCAATGCCCCTTTTTCCTCCTCCTCCATATATTAATTATAATTGTAAATAAATAAATAGAAAATTGGTAATTTATCTTTTGCGTCTATTAGATTCCAGAGACTTCTTTGTGATTTATTATATAAACTTATTAACAAAAAGTATATTCACAACTTATAAACTACAAGATTTGGCGGGGTTTTTTAAAAAAAAGAATATTGATACCAAATTTTGGTAAAGAGATTACTTGATGGGTGTTTTCTTATTTTATTCAACTACATTTTATTTATTGAGCGTATCGATATAGTTTTTATTAAGTTGAAATAAAAAATAACAAAACACTCATAAAACTATTGCCAAACCTAAATTTTTGTTAATTAAATTTACTAGCTTGTTCACTATTGTGTTTTTATATTGGCAAAAAAAATTTTTTAAATATTTCTAAGCAAAAATCTTTTTTTTATGCATAAAAATGACAAAAGATTTTGGTATTTTTGGGGTAAAATTTGATCTAACGTCTCTCTTCTTTATAAAAATAATCAACTTTTAAAAAACATAATTTAATAATTTATGGCTCTTTTTAAAATCTTACTAAATCAAAATTAAACAAGCAAAAAGCGCTCAACGACCTTGAAGAAAAAATATTTTTTTTCATATGGATTTAATTTGCTAACGGAAAACTTATTACTATGTAAATTTGATTTTTAAGTTTTTTTTTGTAGTAATTTTTAAGTGTACCAGAAAAAAAACGTAAATTGACATTTTTCATCGGAAATTTTTATAATTTACATATCTGACAAGTGTTTAAGAATGGGATATTAATTTTTTTTTGTCATTTTAATACAATAATATAGTTTATTTTCGTCAAATTTTTGTAAATGTTTTTGAGTTTAAAGTTTTGTATACAATATTTTTTTTTGAATATGAGAAAATTTTTTTATCTTTATTGCCTGGAATACGAGATTTATACTCCATAATTAATATTATTTTATCAAATTTTATTTATAATAGGAAAGGGAAGACTTCAAAAGATAGGATAAGAAAATATTTTCATATGAAATTTTTTTTATTCATCTTTTTATAATTTATCGCTTATAATCAAATCTTGTTTAATTAAATCCATTTATTAATAAATAAAGCTTGCTTTATAGGTTTACTTTTTTCGTAATTCATTAGTTCATGATTTACTCATTTTTTTTGTATATTGCCAGAGTCAGTAATTTTTCTATGATGAAATTTAAACGCAGTAGTGCCATTAGCCATCATTTTAATTGGAAGACCAGGGGTGGAAAATATAGGATTGAGAGGGGAGGTTGGCAATATGATGGGAAGATAATCTACCTGTTTTCTTGGAATTAGGTCATCGTGAAGTTTCTAGCACGGATGACAAATTTCTAACCCAAGTTATATTACTGTTTTGCAGATTAGTCTGGGAAAACTGTAGATTAGGCTAGTTAACCATTTTAAAATATATTTAACACTGCTGAGTAGTCGGTAACCATTGTGGAAATTATATAATTCGTGTTTATATATCAGATATGCTGTAACGCGAGCTGTTTTTGGTATTAACCTTATATTTAATAATCTTTTTGTTCTTTTATCATAATCTAACATTCAGGATACAAAAATAAAATAAAAAAATTTATGAGCATAAAGGGAGATGGCGGATTTATTTTTCCTCTGCAAAGCTAATCCCTTTAGTCAATCAATCTGTGGGAATAAAAATCAGAAATAATAAAAAAAACACTTAAAGAATTTAACCTTTAAACCAAAGTTTTATCCAGAGCCCGCAAGTTCACATACTATTCCGGAAATTTTTACTACTAATAATATTAAAATCAATCAGTTTCAATATCACCTGATCTATACACATTAGGGATCCGTAGAAGCCGACTCAACCCGAAAGCTCCCGGACTCGTGGAGGGCTATTGTAATTAATTTATAGGGTTGGCCTGGGAAATTTTTTTAGGCAAGCTGAATCTGTTTTGGAAATATATTTGTTATAATTTTGAATTATCAGTGATATCAATAAAATTGCTTTTCTTCTTTCGGATATGAGTTTGTGAAAAAATTTGTGTCTTGCAGGTCTACATGCCCATCCGAAATAGTTGCTTATTGTGCAACAAATCCGTTTAAATAACTAATGCTGAGCTCCTGCCATCCCATAGCACCAAGAGAATCAAATCCCCCCTATCCAGAAAACCTCTATATCAATCCAGCCATTCCTTTTTCACTATAGTACAACCACGCATGACCTAGTCAACTTTACAGCCTTCATACAGATCTTACCTGCCTCAAATTCCTTGCTATAAAATTATTTCTTATTGCTCCAATGCCTCACATTTTATCTCATCATAGACCCAAAAGTTCAAGATTTTATTACAAGAATCTCACAACTTTGCTTAATAATTAATCAGTCAGGCAGTGGCTTGACTTTTTATAATTTCAACACCCTACAAACACCTGTTAGAAAAATAATTGACGCGATATATAATGTATTCATTCAAACATTCCTTCCCCCTAAATCGATATCCCACATATTTGAGGAATGATAAAGAGTTTAACAAAAACGAGAGTCAAACTTATTTTAGAACTAGATAACTTGAACATCATATCTGCCATAAGTCCTGCTACCTCCAATGATAATCTGGCTCCTTGTGATTATGTCATATACCTAGACCCGGTTCATAAACACTTATATATTAACGTCGATACCGATACTCTTGTTTGCACTGAACCTCCCATTCTCACTACTAAGCCACATCTAGATTTCAAGAAAGTAAATCTTCCTTTCCAATGTTACTCTTTATTTTTAGTTGACGGAATCCATCCTATATTCCTTCAGGACCTGACTGCAAATGCTATCACTCTGCAAATTCAAATCCTTTAAAATTACCCGGCTCATCGACTATATTCTTCTTGGGGACATTTTATCTGCTATTTTCCAATTTTTTTATCAGGCCAAGTTTATAGCATTTCATAAACTTAACTAATACGGTAGACCTATACCAATGGCAACACCTGGCATCGCCTCTTACCAAAATAAATTCTCAATTTAGAAATTCACGTTAAAGGTGGATGCAAAGCTGCATTACATGGTCCGAGTATACTTAGACAACAGTCCCTCAGACTTCACTAATACATTCAATGCTTTAGTGGATTATTCAGCCTCTTGTTATACAGTTCCTAGTGTCTAATGGACTGCTGGATCAGGCCATCACACCTAGTATCAGAGATAAATTAATACTATCAATGTAAGGCATCTAACAGGAGTAATCCAGGAACTAATCTTCTTGTCTAGGAATAGATGAAATTATATAAGACATCAATTACCAATAATCTACACTTTTTTTAAAATAACACAATTCATAGGCACCCGTTGCGCACACACCCTGATCCTCTATTCTGGCGATCAACGTAAGCCGACTTCTCTCGCAGCCACTCCACCCCTTCTTATCAATGTAAAGAGATTTAAATTTTCTGGTTGACAACTCTGTCGTATTTCTATCCAGAAGCCTACTTAATTTCTTATAGAAACAGTTATGAATTCCCTGAAGCCATTAACAAATAATGCGCTTCATCAGACACAGACTTACCCGCAATATGGTCATACACTATAATGAATATATCTTTATTATGGGTCATTAATTTATATATATATTTCTTATTATTAATCATTAAATAATATTAAATTGAATGACTATATGTGTTAAGTAAAAGGATACCCCTTGATTTAACCCCCCCCCCCCCCCCATTCATTTTTATTTTTATTTCAATTACCCAAATACATCGTATCATCTCATGTTAGGGCCTTAGCTTTCCTTGTACTATATATAAAAGAATTGAATGATATATATTTCTTCAACGTTTCTAAAAATTATTTAAAAATATCGATAAATCTTAATCTGAAATTTAAAGTGCAATTTGATTAAAATTGAAAGAGAAATATAATGTATTTGTTTTTATTAAATAAGTGAAAAGTATGTATATTATTTTCAATTAAGGTTCCTTTAAACTTTTATCATAGATAAAAAATTTAAAAATATTTTCTATCCATTTTATAATAGAATTTTCTAACCTGACCCGTATTTAAAAATTTAGGACCTATCTATTTCTCCTGCGTGATCAGTAATAATAAGGGAATAAGATATATTTTCATTTTATAGTATTATGCAGTGTTGTTAAAGTATTTAGATAAAAAATGTGGTATCTGTATCTAGATAGATTTTTGATTAAAGTATATGTATCTAGATATTATTTTAGATGTATCTGTATCTGTTTTTAGATACTTTTTATGATGCATTTTGATATACTTTTATTTAACGCTTTTTTATATTATAAATAAAAATACTTGAATGCAAGATTTATTTTATTTCATAAGAGGCTATAAATTAAATATATATATAAAAAATATTAAAACTTATATATAAAAAAATATATATATTTATTAAATATTTTGTGCAAGTTTATCAATAAACCAGATAAATTTTGATATTACAATGCAACTCAAGGAATCTGCCATTTTTATTTTCAATGGAATTGGTTAATTTTATTTTATTATTATAATTTTAAATTTTTATTTTATATTAATATTAATATAGATGAAGAGGGAAAGGAAGAAGTAATAATCAATAAAGCATCTACAGTTCAGATATTGTTTTTTCATGGCCAATTTATAGAGAATATCTCAAAATAAAGAAAACAAATCTCTGATAGTAAAATGTTTGCAATATCTACAAAAAAATAGGAAGATTTCAGTTAGCATTACTTCAACTTGCAACATTGTAAAACATTTAAGGGTATAGAAACTAAATAAATGTATACAATCGTAATTTTAAATTTTAAGAGAAAAAATCAGACACTGTTAATGAAAAAAACAATTAATACATAGATTAGTTGATGAATTATCAAGGTATTCAACTGATCGCAAACAAATAACCTGTGAAAAAACAAATAATTTAATATCCGATTTTTTTCAATACTCCAC